TTTAAAAATAAATAAATCTAATAATAAAAAATCACATCAGACTTAAAAGTAGTCTGTCAATAACTCAGCACCATAATTGTACTACCACGTGGTATACAGCGAAGAACGCATAATGCGCAATCCCTTTCACAACTGGCAAGTGGTCCGGAGAGAGAGAGAGAGTATAATTAATGTATCACATGCTTTCCACGGAAAGCAGTTATAATGATGACAAATTTTAATCATTTTACTACTTTTTTGAATTCTGATTTTCAAGAAGAGACGCGATGTGCAGAGCACATGTGATGATGCGTCAGAGTTCACACAAAGTGAATTCAGTGCAATCATTTTTTTTTTAACAGGAAGAATTCCCAGGGAACTGTCAGAGTAAAGATTAAAAATAAAATTTAGATCATTATATTTAATCACGTTTACAAAGAGGGGTTGCTAGGCCATCAAAAGTTGGAGGAATTATGTGCAATCATTTTGTTACAAGAAAATGAACAAGAAACCATGTATATGAAGTGTAGAGCTTGAGAGGCTCTTCCACATTGAATAATTCCACTTATTTTTATCGTTGATTTATGTCTTATTTTTTACATTACCAAGACTAGAAGCAATGAAATATTAAACTTTGGCTTACAAAATTCTATTTCTTGTACATTCGGAGTTCCCTTTCTTTTCTTTTCTTTTTTTTTTTTCTGAAATGCAATAGATTTCAACGCAAGATGAATTATATAAATAACCAGATCAGTTTACTTTTCTTACAGCACAGAGAATAAAATCTCAAGAAAATTTGAAAATCAAAATCTATTACAAGTTTAGATACTAACACATAAGCAAGCAATAAAATACTAATTAACTAAGGATATATATTATGCAACACGCACTATTAATTTATTAATTTAAGAAGTTAAGACATTAACAACATTATTGTGAATATGTAGATGTATATTATCGTACAATAAGTAATATACTAGTGTATTCCAAATTATCCCATAGAGCATAAATATTAAAAAAATCTCTCGCTAAGTATAAAAGTCATGTTAATTGTAATTTCATCTAATAATTTCGAAATATAAGATAGAGAAACACAATATAATTAATTCTAAGTTCAGCTAATTTGTAAAATTAGTTTCAATTTCTAAACAATTTAGGACACAATTTTCGTCAACACAATTTCTAAACAATCTAAGCATCATTTTAATTAATATTAGTTGTATAAATTCACATTTTAAGTATCTAACCTCAAAATAAAACATATAACATAATATTTCTATTAATATTATTTTATTTAATTTA